ACCTACTATGACATTACATGAAGCCCATTATTACCACAGTAATTGACACACACTCTAATAGGTTGCAGCACCCTGATCAGCACCCTCAACTACATTTGCTGTCAAGCCAACATCACATTGTACTGATGTTGGAGGGGAATTCCAGCATTTTTCTAAATTTCTGTAAAATTCCATCATTGAGATCATTCAGAGTGGTTTGTTGTGAAACTGTTCATTGTAGAGAAACTTACTGACTTTACAGTGATTTTACAGTATTTCTTTACAGTGGTGGTGACAAGAACTAAGCATTGCAATGTCAAGAATGCAAATAAAGCTATTTACAGCCAGCGAACTTAAACGTGTCTTACAAATGTTTGTATATGTTTGTATATTAGGGGTGCGGGAAATTCTTAGATTCTTAAATTCTCGATTCTTAGATGCATCGCGATGCGGAGATGACGGATTCTGAAATGATTTGTAAATGTCAAAAATCGATTTTCTAAATATTTAATTTATAACGTAATGTTGACAGAACGCAAAAGGCGGAACTGGAAGTGGGTAAGTGCAGCACCCGGACAGTCTGTGGCGGAACATAACAAAAACACTACTGGATGAGCGAGAAATCCGACCGGCTCCCTTTGCATTAAAAGCCAGGTTAGGTCAGGAGTCTAAACCCAAATGATAAGAAGAGCCATTTTGTCCTTTCAACAAAAATCAAACCACCTCGGGAGCCACGACATTTAATGCCCAGTATGTCTCAGTATGCGATAATGTCCTAGTATGGGCTAAAAATATAAACGAGAGCGCAGATTTACTTCGCTCTGCTTTAAGCTTTAGCTACAACCGCTTTCCTCCCATCTCCACCAGAGAACTTTTCCTCAAAAGTAGAGCAGCTTATTGTAAAATGTCTCAGCGTCCGGCTGTTTTACGAGGCTGAAGTCGCTTCTCATTCGCCAGGTTCTCATTCTAATTGTCCTGTTCCACCTTAAATTCTGCCTTAGGCGCCGAATGTAACTGCTGCACCATTTAAGGTGGAACGGGAAAATTGGAAAGAGAAGCGAGCTCATTTACGCAACTTTTTAGAGAAAGACAGTCTCTCATTGCAGATTTAACCAACCGCGCTGCTTATAAATGCGAATAGTCCTCCAAATGTTCGTCTTAATCTCTGTTTTTTCGTTCGCTACTGGCGAGGCCAGACCTCGGTGCTGTGTGACCTGCTGTCTGCTGTCTGTTCTCAGTCGTTGAGAACCAGGGCTTTCGCGCTATGCTGCAAGTATACTTAAAAAGAACTCACACTAGAGAAGATCTCAAAACAAAGAATGCACTGAGTACGACTTTTGCTTAGCAGCTGGCGCATAACGCAATGTACAATCTCAAACCATCACATCATTTTGCTCTTTTAATTTAAAGCATTGTGCCAACTTTATTGTAAGAAGAAGAATTTAAAATATGCATTACCAACACGCAAACTAATAATTGCGGATTCAGAAGGTAAACTGTAATCGATTTCTTTTTTCGACTGACTAAGTTTAATCTAGCACTCATGACAAGCTACGTTTATATGATACATTACTTCATTGCATAACAAAACAAAGAATTGTGTCGCACTGCCAGAACTTTGAAATGCTGAGGAAACCAGAGCAACATAATGGTTTGCTTAGTCAAATCAATGAATACAATCAGTTTAATAGATATAATCATCACTTTTAGCCTTATTCCACAGTTCTGGCTAGAGATCCAACATCAGCCTAGCAATGCGCTCCTTTTCTTTTTCATCCGCCTTCTTCCACTTTAAGCTCCACTGGAGAGACAAAGTGGCTCAAGTGGCTGAAGACAACATCGTGGTCCAAAGAGAGGGTGTTCAGTGGAGCGAGACTGAGAGCAAGTTCAGCGCTAAATGAATGGATTACAGCAGAGGGAGGTGAACTACTGATCCCAGATCAGTTGTAGTTGTCCCTTTGTAATGGATAAGAGTGCAGTGAGGGGTTGAAGGGCTGGTGCTGGATACATTAACACATTCCCTATCTCAAAGCTTACACCGTGCAGTGGCATTTAGTTCTGCAGTAAGTTTGTGGCTGGAAGCATCCAAAGCAGAAAGCAAAGCCAGTCTCAGTGATAAAGCTGTAGATGGTGACCAAGCAGGTGGGCAAAAAGAGCAGCATAAGGAGGGAGGGTGAGAGAGACCGAGAGAGAGACCGAGAGAGAGAGAGAGAGAGAGAGACAGAGAGAGAGAGAGAGAGAGAGAGATATACTGGCCTAGAAATGAAAACACTTCTGCAACACCCTGAGGTGAGAATCAAATACTCTATTTCGCTTACAATCAGATATCTGTATCTGCTCACTGTGTGTGTGTGAGTGTGTAAATGAACATCACCAAGCCCCACACACCCCCTTACCTCATAAATGACTCACCTAACTCTTTTTTTCTCTCTCTGTCCTCAAAAGATCTGACCAAAATAGACTCTGTGTCTCTTAGACCACCTCCACTTGCGTCCTGCATACTCATCAGCTTAGGCCCACACACGCACCGCACAAAACATATTTCCCTGGCCAAATGACTGCAACCCCCCGAAGCCAGCAAGTCTTCACTTACACTGTCCTGACAATGCCCCCTAGTCTCTCTCTATTATGGACAATTTGAGAATATTACAGTTGACAAATGGCTAATATCCACTCACAAAATCTGGTCTATTACTGGCTGATTCGTTTTGTTTTTTTTTGTGACTGATTTTCTTGACCATTCCATGCTCCACCCACAAATGCATTATTTCGTGGCAACTGTCAAGAGGTCGGACACGCTTCATAGACTGTTGCCAAATATCACTACAATGTTTGTTTAGGGTCACCATGTAATGCTGCAATTTCAGTTTAGAATGCTTCATGACCAATCTGGACTCTTCTTGTAGCCAAATGAAACTTGTCAGGTTGGGAACAGCAACAAATTTTCCCCAAATGTTACCAATAGTTGAATTACATGACAAAAAAACTACATCCAATCTATCGTAACTTAATATTTTAGATGTATACAAAGGTCATTTCAAATTAACAATGCGCTTTGAATATAGGTATCTTTTAAAGAAATGCAAACTGAGTTGGCACTACAGTTTATTATTAGGCTGAATGGGATTTTTGTGACACCTTGTGTCAGTCTAAACTACAAATGCCAAGAGCACTTGTTTTACTGCGGCCATACTGTTGACATTCTGTCAGCATAGTGTTTATTAGCAGTCAGTGAGCAGCTATGGCGTCCGAATCAAGATGTCATGGAACTGTCAGTTTGATCAGAGTTGTCCGTACAAAATTAATCTGTCTTCTTTGAGACCCGATTATGCGTTATTGCCATGATAACCTTGTCCTGTATCAGCTTAGACACTGCAGAAGCACAAAGCATACAAATCAACAGAATCATATTATTCCAACTGTGGAAGAGTCAGCAATATTCTGTCTTTTGTACCGTCAACTCCACTATCAAATGTTGTTGTGATCGCAAAAGTGATTAATAGCTGCAAATCTATGTTTTCTGGGATTGATCATTGTTGGCTTGAGTTAAGCTAATGTGAGCCTTGCTAACGCTTTGGAGTTAACTGTATTCATTGTCTAGCTGAAGCACAAGAGTTCTCGAAATATATAGCTAGACTGCAAACGTTTCTCACTATCTCACTATTCTCACTATCCAAAGATTTCTCCTTTGCTAGCTCAGCTCTTGAGCCTCTTTCCCCCAGCGCTGGACAGTCTCTATGGGTGTCGCTGTTATGACCACTTTGCCTGATGGCATGTCAAAGATATGACGGCATGACAAGTGTGAAGTCAACTGAATACTATCTATAGGGCGTACGTTGTTAGAACCGCATAAACTAAAAACGGCACTTGGATTGAATTAATGAATCGTATCCTGCATTTGCAAAAAACCTATGGCTTCTGGTGTAACAAATCCCTCATTAAACCTTTACCTGTACCGCACTCATATAGGCTTTACTATTGCTTAGGAGTCTGAATAGATGCTAAACTGACAGCTCCTGTAATGTGACCAGGCCAGACCTACATCTTACACTACATCAAAGACTGAAAGACTCTGCATTGTTTTTCATAACTGCCTGGAGTGAATGGCCAGGTCAGTGAGTTCTGCTTATGTGATGCTTCAGTGTCATTCATGACCAGCAGAAAGGTCACTTCAGAGATCCTGAAGTAGCAAACATAAATAGACGAGAACTCCTATCAGTCAGTGGGTCAGTGAGGACAAAATGTCAAAAGGGGTCACAGACCGGTGACATCAATGTTCTGTGAATGCACAACGCAAAACTTTTGGACCTGCTGGCAAGGTTTCACCGAGCAAGGTGAACACAGGCATTTTTACTTGCTCAGCCAGAACAGATCATGGCAGCAGATAATAGCTACATGGATTCAGCTCAATGAGAAAGGTTGCAAGATAAACTGTATTTTTATCGTTAGCGCGATATGAGTTTCCACGATAAACACATCATTAGAGCGGTGATGACAGTGCAGATCTAATTACCTCATACATGCAGAGCCAGAGAGACATTGTTATGTTACCACACAAACTGTTACAGGACTGATTCTCTGAGCTGGGCCTGAACCTGCTCTCCCAAGCAGGACACGAGTAACTTAACCATTGGGTTAAAAAGGCTGTTGAGGTGATGGTGACTGTTTCTCAGGTCTTCAGTGCAGAAAATATGTGCTTGCAGTTCTGATGCAAGTAGTTGTTAATATTTCATTTCTTCTTATTTGAAGAATAGTAAACAGTGCTTTTGTAATTTTGTTCTATTTGAGTAAAGATTGGTTTAAAGAGAGGTTTGTCAGATGTCTGTTTACACATCCCAAAAAAATGTCTGCCCTTATATTACATCCAGCCAGAGACACAATATATTAACAGTAATTTATCGCTTCTCATATTGTCACCGTGATATCCAACAGCTTTATCAAACACCTCATTTTATGCCAATATCATGCAGCCGTAAAAGGCAGTCTATCATTATCTGAAGAAAAGTATGCTCCAACTATACCTGTATGATTGGAGAACTGTACTGAGTTGATGGAGTCCACTTCAAAGCCCATCACCTGGAACAGAAACAGATGTTATATTAAGCATTTGTACATTTCATCAGTGTGAGCTACAAATTCCAATGGCATTGGTTAAATTCAAATCCTTTCGACAGGGCATGTTCACTGCTGATGGAACTGCAGGAATAAATACTGCAGAAATGCACTCGGATTAAATAAATCTGACATACATGAAAAAGCTATGAAGAGTAGAACTGTTTTTACCACAAAAAAAGCCTACTGTCACAGCAGAGCTTGGGGAAAAGTCATTATTCGTACAGCCTCACAGGATAACAGTTTATAATTTTCAACAAGAATCAGTGTAAACCAGCCTTGATAATGAGGATAAACAACTGTTTGTGGGCTGCAAATCAAGTGGGTTGTACGCTACAGCTACAATAACTTCATTTTTCGAGTTGTGGTTTTCTGCAAACGTCTAGGCTGTTTTGAAAGCAAATTGCTGTTGCCATGTCCTATCCAAAAAAGACGGAAAAAAGAGAGTGGCGTCAAAACAAGAAGGATTTTCCCTTAAGATTTATTCTTTTTTTAATACTTGAAGTGGTAAAAAGATAACATAGCTGAGAACAGAAATCAGACATTACAGGATATAAAAATATCACAGTGCATTAAAATTCTTGACTGCATTACACTTTTTTTAAATACTGTATCTTCTAAAAAACGCATGAAGCTCTGTTTAGGGAAGGTTTGTTTTCTTTAGTGAACACTTTTGTGAACATGATGCATGATTTTCCTGTCTACTCATCATGTTTACACTAAAAACAAAGCATCAAACATATCAGTCCTCCAATAATAACAAGCTTTTCCGCCCAATGAAGTTTTGCACATCCATTCAAAACAATACTGTGAATATACAGTGCTGAACTCTTAAAGCATATTGCTGCTGTCGGAAGAAAACCTTGTATCTCCATTATTTCCATTTTTGTCGTTTTTCAGTTTTTAACATAATTTGAAAATATCCATTGTCCTTTACATTGTGCGTAAATTTCATGATGAATGGACCAAAAGAAACAGCCCAAAATGACTTGGAAAAAAGTCTGGTTCCATCGACTTACATTAAAAGAAAAGCAGGTTTTTTTCCTTCTCCTGTAAAGTTAGCATTTCGGAGATATGAGGTTTTCTTCCAACAACAGCGATGCGTGTTAAAAAACAACACATTCTGTCTCTAACTAGACACGTCAGTGTGTTGAGTTGGAGACGACACATTTTGTGTTACGTTTATCACAAAATGTGCTGAAATATTTCTGCACCCATTTACAGATAACATATTTTGGCTCACTTAACACAGAATATGTTCAATCAGAGACACAAAAAGTGTTAAAACCGATAACACAAGTTAGTGTGTTGTTATTTGACACATCACTTTTTACAGTGTATAATACAGCGTGTAATAATTGTTTATTCCTCTAGTCCACAGAAAATGACCGGTATCTTCTAAATCTGAATGAAATTTTTCCAGAAACGTGTCTGGATTCTTGCTGGCTCTGGTGTCTTCCCGGCTGTGACGTCACTACTCCCCCCTTCCTAAAGGGGCGAGTTGGTCTCAGTGACGCTTCTCTGGCTTTCTGCTCCCACGGTCACACACACGAGGTGAAGAACACCAAAACCACCAGCCACAGACAGAGCGGCCAGCTTCACAGCGGTTTTTATCATTGTCTCGTCCCAGACATCAATCCTCGAGATACTGAAGCCCTAACTGAGGCAGTAAAGACCTTATTAATGAACCACTTGTCGTGTCAGAAAGAAAAACAAACAGCAACAGAGGTGAGAGGGGAGGAGAGGAGAGACCACCGCCAGTGTGCAGCAGCGCCCCTACATCTACAAATCTCCTCAGAACCAGCGCGTTTCACACACGCGTCTAATTTTTCTTGATCCGACCCGGTTTTAAAGCAGAATTTTGGGAAATCTGACAGGAAGCCGCCCGAGGCTGCAGGCGCTGCTGCTGTTCATCATCTGTACTGAAAAGGTTCTGCACGCGCAGACCGCTAATCTGACAGGACTGACGTAGAAACACGCATCGACATTAATACTAAGAAGACTGAGCGCACAGCACAGCGCCAATTAGGCCGTTTTAAAGACAGACTTTAGCTGGTGACACCTGGACCAGAGCTCGAGGCACAGCCGTTACGCCGTGACACGAATCCGAATCAGAATCAGAATCTGAACACTGGAAGGAGTCGAGTCGTTTCACCATGTGACCTTTAGCTCTTTTCTCCTGAACACACCTCGCCTGCACCGGTGCTCTAACCGTCCGTCCTGCCGCGCATGCGCACGTCATTAACATAGTAAAACTCAGTGCTCCTAAAGCTTGTGTTTTTAATGTTAATCCAGGACAGACTCAGCTTAAAGTTCCCACTTAGGCCATCACAATATCCTAATTGTTCTTTTAATGCTGGTAATGTTTTCTGATATGATGATTAAGCCCAGGCTATAAAAATCCTGCCTATGCATTTCACTGCAGGTACGTTTTCTGATGGGGTCATTTAGGCTATCAAACCTGTAGTGCCTGTAGTTTTAATGCTGGTAATATTTTTCGATCAGGTGATTTAGATCAGTTCTCCTCAGTCCTGGCCCCGGAGACCCGCTGCCCTGTGCGTTTCAGCATTTTCCTCGCTTTAACACACCCACTTCAACTCCGTAAAGTGCTGATAACGGGCTGATCAGGTGTGTTGTGAGCAGGGAAAACAATGAAAACAGGGAAAACAGTGTAGGGCAGCGGGTCTCCAGGACCCGAGTTGAGAAACACTGATTTAGACTATCACACTGTCCTATCTGTACTTTTGCTGCTGGTAACATTTTCTGATAAAGTCAATCAGGCTATCAAAATATCCCCCTACAGTTCTACGCATTGATCTGCCTGTAAACAGGCTCTACAGCGGGACATTTCGACAAGGTAGCACACCGGCCGGCGTCCTCCTCTGCCGGCGCTACCCGGCCAATAAAGAACACAGAGCGTGCACGCCTGCCCGTCTGCGCGCGCGTCCTTAGGAGAGGAGAAATATAAGTGCAGGGCTTGACAGCACGTGCAAATGCGAAAACAGCCCTGCGAGCTTTACCTGCAGTGGGAACGAGGCTGATTTGTTGCCCACGTAGCCCCTCACTACGTGACTCTGGATGGACAGCACTCGGCACTCCATCTCCGTCTCGCGCACGAAGTTGTCGGTGCTGTCCGCGCAGGCGGCGCGTGAGGAGCAGCGCGATCCCGCGGCACGAGGGCAGGCGGCCGGTTCCGTCTGCTGCTGCTTCCACACCGGAATCCGCGATGGCAGTTTGAGGAGCCACGCGCCGAACTGAAGGACGTGCAACATGGAGAGACGGTCATTGGCGAGGCGGAGAGCCTGGACCGCAACGACTGCTCAGGCATCCTCGGCGGGCGCCTAAACCCTCTGACATCACCAACATCACGATGACAGTAGCGGACCGTTTTCTTTCAGGGGAGTGTACCTAAAATTATTTATTTTTATAATATGCTCAGAATTTAAGATCTGTGCGTCTTGAATATTACACAGAGTTCATGAAAACTACCGAATGAACTGAACAAATATACAAATACAGCTTTGTATATTTTATATCTCAATTTTTTCACTGTTTTTTTTGGGGGGGGGATGTGCTGACAAATCGTCTAGTAAACGTTTAAAAAGATATCCTGGATTGATCCAGTGCCAAATGGGAAGCACAGTGTGTTCTGAAAACTGTACTTCAAGCGCTTTTAAACAGCTACAGGCTGCAGCGCTAATCCATTGAGATGGGCGCGACGTACAATGCGGAAGTTGGGTCCTTCCTGCCTTACGTCGCGCTGTGAAACGGCCCTATCGTTTTAAGTGTGAGCGCTGACGCAAAGAAATGAATGGGTGGTGTTTGACGTAGTCGGTGCCAGCAACATGTGTCATAGCTCACCTCGGTCATCAAAACATGGAAATACAGGCATTGTGCGGTGTGCCCTGTCTTCTTATTTAATAATTCTATCTTAAGTTAATCTTAATAATACAAAGTAATTTAGAGCTGATTTTTCGTGATGCTGACTGATGCAGAGAGACCACAGGTCGCCTGGCCAAGAAATGAATATTGTTTATTAACCTTTAAAAGGCTTATTGTACCAGATGGCTGCTCAAAGCCTCTTAGAAACCCAAGCTTATGAACCCAAACTGGTCAGACTGAACCGCCTGATTGAATTATGAATGCCGGTGGTTTTCATGTTTAGTCTTGGGGACCTACTGCCCCACACAGTTATGCTATTCTCTGCCCCAGCACACCTGATCAGTTCATTATTAAGATTTTCAGGTGTTGGATCAGGTGTAATGATGCACAGAACACCTGAAACTGTGCAGGTAAGTGGGTCCCAAGAATTGGAGCTGAAAACCACCAGTCTAAAGCAATGGTGGAGCATGTAATGTTGTTTTCCCTGCTCTTATACACCCAGTTCAGCACAGGAATGGCTTAGTAATTCATTCATTTGTTGCATCAAGTGGGTTGGGAGCAGAGGAAACTGTAAAACAGGGGTCTCCAATCTTATCCACAAACGACCAGCATGGGTGCAGATTTTCACTTCAAACAAGCACACCTGATTCAGGTAACCAAGAGCTTCAGGGTCATCTGAGCATTAGAGCCAGATGTGATGGATCTGAACTCTCCAGGGTGGTAAATCTCCAGGACTAGGATTAAACATCACTGGTCTCAGTCTTCAACAACTAATCAGGTGTAAAATGAAAATCCATAGCCAGACTGGCCCACTGCATATGAGATCAAACACCTCTGCTCTAAAATATGCAGGTCAAGTACTTCTCAAGGACCTGCATAGAGAGTAGGGAAAAACACAAAAATATGCAGATCATTGGTTCACCAAGGCTCGGATTGGGAACCCCTGGATCTGTGTTTTTTTTACCTCTAGTTCTGGGGGCCCTGCACAGTTTCAACTATTCTCTGAATACAACTGCTCACCCAGCTCATCGGCTAATTATCAGGCTCTTTATGAGCTGGAATAGGTGTTTTGAGGACAGAGCATACTTGAAAGTGTGCAGGGCGGTGAGTTTTCCAGGTCTGGAGTTGAAAACCACTAATGTAGCTCATGCCATTTGTTCAGATGGAACTTGGTTTGGAGTTTAAAGAAAAATGACTACAGAAAATCCACACACATTCATAAAGGTAGGCAAAGTAATCAACACCAGAGTTGCTTGAACAGAGCTATTGATTTAAGTCAGTGGTCACCAACCCCCCTCCTGGAGAGCTACTGTCCTTCAGAGACCAACCTGCATCTAACATACCCACTTAACACTAATGCATCTCATCAGCCAGTCAAGAATCTCTGAAGAAGTTACATAGCTGGAGCAGGTGTGGCAGACGGTGGTTGGAAGTGGATCTCCAGGACTCTGGAGTTTAGTGACCACTAATCTAGTCCACAGCTATAATGTTAAGGTGGCCTGTTGCCACTGGAATGTAGGCTTTAAAGACGCTGTTTCTTATGTAAACTTGGCCATTTGGTGTAACTGGGCAATAATAGTTTAAATAAACTTAAACAATCATCGTAATTAGGAATGGAAAATGTCGAGCCCACAGATAAATTAAACCGATTACAGTCGTTGGTAACTTCCAGCCAGTGCCCCCCGTGATGAGCAGTGAGGAGAGAACAATGAACTGGTCATGGCTGAATACCAAATGACTCCCTGCTGGACCACTATGGGTGGGCTATTTGGGTCTCATGACCGGTGTTGTGCATTGTAAAAACGTCTCTGAAACCGAGCCTAAATCTCGCTCCTAAAAGGTGCCTGTGAACGCGCTCCATCAGTGGGCTCTAAAACAACACTGCAGCTGGTGGACGATTTGCCAGCTGAGTCATGATGGATCTCTCGCTCTTTATCTCCGTGGTCGTGACTGCGGGAAGGCGGAGAGAAGGGGATTAGAGCTACACAGAAGTCAGTTCCGTCATATTAGCGCACACACACACATTTACAGGCCGGTGAATCATCGCTGCCGAGCAAAGCCACTTCACCGGTGACACTTCTGAACGCAGCCGAGAGGCGGAGGAGGACACGACAGCCTTCAGTGGAGAGAAGCAGCGTTTTAGTGACACCTGCTGGTCAAATGCTGTCATTACAGTACTGATCCTGAAAACCTGCTGCATTACAATACATGAGAAGTAACGTACAGAATACATTTAGAATACATATTGATAAGGCAGGTGGGAAAATCTCTGCTGTATTTTCTTAATTTACACTGTTCCTTCGTTTTACTGGTTGGGAGTTTTCTTCATGTAATTCTTAAGTTAACATGTGCCATAAAAAATTCCCATCATTTGAATGAAATTCCAAATTTCTCATCTTTTTGTTTTTCCTCATCATCTGCCTCAGTCAGCTGCTACCCCCACAATCCCATGAGCCCACTTTACTTGAACACTGTGTCCCAATTTATCCAGTATAATAATTAGGACAATATTTAAAGACCTCTTACTCAAATAATTAAACATAATGTCAACAACCTTATGCAAAAGTTTGGGCATCTCTGGTGAAATTACATGTTTTTGTTGATTTAAGTGAAAACAATTTGGCAAACTGAAAAATAAACATAAAATATGGCCTGTGAAAGAGTTATGGCACATTGTATATTTTTATATGAATATAAACTAATAAATAGCAAATAAATAAAACTGTGCATGTTTTTTTTTCCCTTTTGGAGGATGTGTTAGCTTATTTTTACTTAAAAAATCAACAAAACGTAATTTGATGGGGGGTGTTCAAACTTTTGCGTACAGCTGAATACAGTTATTCACGTTTGCTAAACTCTCCATATTAGAAAATGACAGCTAATCATAGAAATATTTTCTATAAAATTATAAGCCATATTCCCATAGCTAAGCTATGTGATCTTCTGTTAATGACTTGTGTGTAACATTGTACCACAAAACACTGACAGGTCTAGTATAACACGGATGCTGAGCTTATCAGTGGAGAACATGTCCACTGCTGAGGTGTCTGTTCAAATCAGTCATCCTGCAGAAGAGCTCAGCTGTGATTCATCAGTCTGCTCAGGCTTTAGAAGGAACATCGTTGTTTGGAAAGAAGTGGTTTGTTGGGTTCCTACTTGGATTTGGCTGTTTTCTATACTGTGTGCTGATATGAAAAGAGTTAATAAACAAGCATTGACTGTGTTTCTTTTAAAGATTTTGAATTTTAAATATTGTCTCTGGACACAGATTCAATATAGATACTTAATTTGTGTTCTAAATAAATATTCTAAACGCTTGTATTTTGTTACATCCTGACCCGGCACTCATGTACACAGTGCCAATGAAGGCATTCAAGCCCCCTTGAAAGTATTATCAGTGAAATTTTGAAGATGAAAATTGCAGTTCACAATTGTAGCTCCATTCGGCTGAAAATCTGCACAGATAAATGGTGGGAAAAATCACTCCCAGTGTACAAAGCCAGCAGGCCTACAAACTTACTCTAAATGACCTAAAGCTCTTATTGCTGCAAAAGATGGCTCAGCTTTATATTTACTCATTCATATCTAACAGCAAAAATTAGTATTTTGAGGAAAAATGCCACACAACTTGTTCTGAAGTGATGAAATCCTACAGTAGCCATTTCATTTTTGGTTATGTAATTTTCAGACTGTTGTTCACAGCCAGATCAGTGGAACTGTGTTCAGATGAAATGAAAATTAAGCTTCTTGGCAACAAACTCTCAAGGTGGGTTTAGTGTAAAAAGAAGAATGACTACACTGAAAAGAACCTGATGCCCACTGTGAAATATGGTGGAGGTCTGCAATGATGTGGGACTGTTTTTCCTCCAAAGGAGGAACACACACATTTTCTAAGTCGCTTTTCCTCCTGGGTCACTGGAGCCTATCCCAGTGCTTGTTGGGCGGAAGGCAGGTAACAGGACAGGCCACACACACTGTAAATGTCCCTGGTCACCCAGTCGGGGAATCGAATGAGTAATAAAGTCTGTACTTCTCTGACTTCATACACTATTGAACATCCTCTATCTGGAACTATCATCCACAAAAAATAACAATGCAGCACCTACAACTCTTCTTATTTGCAATGGTGGAATAACTGAAGTGACGTGCCTTTGCTTGCTTGGCTGTATAATGTGTTTATGTTGTAAATGGGGAAATTTTCACGTGCCTTGTGATGCAAGTATGATGAGTTTTTGTTACTGTATTCCACAGTTGGGAATGGAAAAGAGGGTTCATTTGTTATTTGGAAAATAAAAAATGATGGACCGAAAATATCACAAAAATAAGTAAGTACTAAAACTTATTAGCCAAATGGTTTAAATTTGATAAATCTTGAAATTTGTGCACGGGT